TCATATGCCTTTCCTAACTACCCCCACCCACTCCTCCCAGGAATCTATACTATTTTTTAACCCTCCTCAGATACTCCCATATCACCCCACTTCCTCTAGGAACCTCGAACTCTCCCTGCCACATACCCCAGGCACTCCCAACACGTCCTCTGCCCCCCTTCATAGCTTGCTGACTGGTCATGTTGACTCGATCTCATGCTGGTAACCATAGCTGCAGTGAGATCACGATTACCATGGTCATGCCCGAAAGCAGCATTTCACACCTCTCCTCCCCATCCTCCTGCTCATACATCCTTTCTGCCCCTCTTCCCTGATGCCCCCTGAGCGTTGACAGTGATGTCCCATTTAGCATGGAACGCTTAGTGAGCTAGCTACCTGTTGGCCAAGCTGAGGAAAGGTGGGGCAGCCTTATGCTGCAGCACAGTATGGCGTACCCTAATTCATGCAAGTTGTCAGAGGACACCTCACTGAAGTGACCAATGATGGCTTAAATGTAAGCAGCAACAGCAGAAGAGTGCAGAAGGCCCCCAAATCCAGCTGATATTTGGAAAATAATCGGGTCCCAATGGCTGAAAATGTGACACCAGGGCGTAGGGAGCGGGCTCTGTCAATAAAGCGCTTATTTCACAGCATGAAGACCTGAGTCCAGATCCCCAGAACCCTGTAAAAGTCAAACACAATTACACTCACCTTTAATCCCAAGGCTGGGGAAGTAGAGACAGGAGGAGCCCTAGACTTGACTGCCAGCTCATCTAGCCAAATAGATAAGCCCCAGATACAGTAGGAGATCCTGCCTCAAAAACTAAAGTGGAAAGCAATTGAGGATAACACCCAGTGTCAACCTCTGGCCTCCAGAAACGGGCACATACCACAAACACACATGAACATACACACACATGAGCACACACACATACAAGGTTAAACCTATTAACATATCAAAGGGTGTTTATGTAAAAAGTACATAACTCAAGAAGAAATAACATTTTTCAAAACAGCCTGGGGAAAAAAATAATCTACCTAGTAGGTCTAAACTTCATAACCTGATCTGTATTTAAAGTTTAAGAGATAAATAAATAAATGTAGTTAAAGTGATTGCATTGTCCTGCTGCAGGGAGGGCTCCTACAGTAATGGATCACTGCTGCCCTCTAGTGTCACAAGCAAACATGAGTTTAGAAACCAGAATGACAGTCATCTCTGATGGGCTCCCTATAACAAGACAATCTTGAGAAGATGCGAGAGATGGGACTTACATTGGGTTTGGAAGATCTAGCAGCTGAGGAAGCAAAGTTTCCACTAAGGAACACTGTCACTGTGTCCCGCTGTTGTCCTCTAGCCAGTTTGAGTTTTCCATGCTACTAAACAAATGGGTGAAGAAAGGGTTTGTGGCATTGGCCAGGGTAATTCATCCTAATTACTCTGGGGAAATACAGCTGCTTGTCCTTAGTCATAACAAAGACAATAGCATCTCCTTGGAGAGTCCTTCAGGTCTACGTATAACCAACCTAATATTTGCTCTTTTCTATTACAAGAGTCCTGGTGGTTTCTCTGCACCTGCCCATACCTTTTTAGCAAATAGTTCCTTAATTAAATCCTTAAACTTATTCTGCTTTTAGCTGGGTGTGATGGTAATGCCTTTAATCCCAGGACTCAAAGTCAGAGAAAGGCAGATCCATCAGTTCGAGGACAGCCTGGTCTACAGAGCAAATTTCAGGGCAGCCAGGACTACACAGAGAAACAAAATTATTCTGTCTTGAAAAACAAAATTATTCTGCTTTGACTGTGCCATCTATTTCTTGCTGCACCCCTATTTGATATTTCAGATACCAGAGGCACAGCCTTGTACAAAATAGAAAAACAAATCCTCCTCTCATATAACAATTGAATGAGAAGCACCAAAATTAAACAAGGAAAACGAGGGAGAGATAAGAACTATCTGGGAAGGTGACAGATGACAATGGTAGGAGACCTTACCCAATGTGATACTTTGACTGACACTACAGCCTGCAAATGTTACAGAGCCTTCTCTAACTGTGGGCCCATGTGGAGTCAATAAGTAGACAAGGGTAGCAGTCTTTAAGAAATAAGTTGCCTTCAAAGTCCTACCAAGGATTATACCTGTTGTTTTTGGAGAGGGTGGTATGCAAGAGCTGTGTCCCTGTCTCAGGAAGCAACAGTCAGTGCTGTCACACATCGTACAGCATTGCATCACATTTCTCCCCTCCCTGACGTTTTAACCCATTCTGTCTGCAGACTTGCTCCTGTCCTAGTGTTACAACTTCAATCTCTAGAAGCGGAGGGCGGTCGGGATGGCGTTAGAGAACCAGCTTTGTTCACAGTGTATCCTCTGCAGTGGATTACTTAAATATGAAAGCTCGGCCTATAGTTTAGACTTGTCCCACTAGTTCTTATAACTTAAATTAACCCATTTATATTAATACTCCACACTACTGGACTCCTGGAAATTCTGCTTGGTAGAAGGTCCTCGAATTTTTGTTGGATTTATTTCTCACCCTCTAACATACAAAGGACCTTACCAATACACTTGGAGTATGTTTTGGAATAATCTTTTTGTACACTGTGAAGATGTGTCTTTGCCAAGGCACCTTCTGATTGGTTTAGTAAAGAGCTGAATGGCCAATAGCTAGGCAGGAAAAGGCTAGGCGGGATTTCTGGGCAGAGAAAGGAGTCAAGGTGTGTCGAGACTCCAGAGGACATGGAGAGGAAACAGGAGGTGCAAGATGGGAGAGGTTAAAAGCCATGAGGCAAAACGTAGATTAATATAATCTACGTGGGCTAATTTAAGTTATAAGAACTAGTGGGACAAGTCTAAACTATAGGCCGAGCTTTCATATTTAAGTCTCCGCGCCTTTTTTTTTTTTTTTTTTTTGAGGTGACGGCCCAAAGAAAAGTCCTTCTACAGGAGTGCACTCGAAGTATTGTTCACCGGGTGCAATCAGCTTGATATCATCGGTGTTGTGAACTGGCTTGAAGTCAAGAGGAAAGTTGTCCACAAAGTGTGACTAACAGCATCATAACACAGGGCTATAACACAGGGTTAAGGCAAGAAAGTGAAGGTGTACTGCTGACCTTGCCAGCTGCAAGCTGCCTCTGGGGATCTGTTCTAAGGCTGCATGTCAGGCCCTTACCCTGTTAATTTATTAAAGCAATGAAACCACACTTGCAATTGGAGTCTCCATCTGAATAAACTTACAACTAATATTCTCACAGATCTGCTTTCTGCACAGGCCAAATGGTGAATTAAGTGAGGATGTGGGCTGAATCCCAACCCTGCATCCTTCAAGCCTTTGGAGGTGTCACTCATCTCTGCAATCCCTCCAGAAACGGGGTGTTGCTTTCAACTTAAGAATATATGGTCTTACATTTGTGGTGGCTTTAAGTCTGAGACAGACATGAGCAGGGTCATGCTTCTTCTGATGGTCCTGGGGAAGAATCTGCCCCAGGCCTATCTCTAAGCTCCTGGTAGCTTGCTGGTACCTTGGTTTGTGACAACCTAATTCCAATCTTTGCATGATTTTCTCTTTGCATGTATATGTGTGTCTATTTCACCCATTTTATGACATGAGTTGTAATGGATTAATTGCCAACTTGAGTGGAATGAAAACTATCTGGGTTAGTAAAACATACCTTGGTGGTGTCTGGGTTAAGTCCTTGATAGATTCAAAATATGATGGCATTATTGGGAGATGGTTAAAGATAAAAGGTGGGTGCCTATTAGAGAAAGGCCACTGAAGATGTATCCTTGAGGACTTTATCTTGCCCTGGCTTTCCTATATTGTTTTTCTGCCTCTTGGTCACCATATGAATTCTTTTGCTCTGCCATGCGCTCCCTGTCCTCTAATACCAAGAGGCAAAAATCTTCCCTTCTTGAGTTGTCAGGTACTGTCACAGAAATAGGAAGGCTAACAAACTAGTCACTAGTAGCTCATAACTCCATGCTGACTTAATTGCATTTACTATGACTCTTTCTAAGACCATGACTTGAGTTTTGCATTTTGTGTTCATCATCTTCATCACTCCAAGCCTGTCCCTTATACTCATCACTTCTAACATGCATATTGCCATCTTTCTTGTAATTGCAGTTCATTGCCCCCCTCCCATAATGCAGCATCCGTATAATAGCCCCTGCTGAGATACCTGAGGCAGTTCTTGGACAGTTCTAGTGACTTCTACTTGGTTTTTCCTATCCTAAGAGCCCCCATTCCACAAGTCAGGGAACCTATGTGGTGATTCCTCCAGTTTCTCCATGTCTAATCAGGAATTACAGATGAGGAAAACACAGGATAGATGCCCTGTGATGGATGATGACTGAGATGGCTCAGAACCGAAACTTCATCAGTTACCTAACTTCAACAAGCTCCTACTCTGTGGTAAGCACATCACAATGGTGGTCAGGAATTCATGTCGGTTCAGAGTGGTATTCAGCAATCCTCTAACAATCTGGCTGTTTCTTTCCTAAGTGTTGACACTCACCTTAGTCAACAGCTATGGATCCCTCTGGAACACTAGGAGACAAACAGGATAAATGCTTAGCAGGATAGGAGGCTCCTTATTCAAGCAGATCATTGTGGTTTGCATATGCTGTATTAAAGAACTGTCCCAATCCAGCAGGGCTCAGAGGTGAGTGATTGGCTCATAAGGGCTCTGACCTCACCAGTAATTTAATCCCTGATGATTGGGGTAAGAAAACACTGCTGAGAGGAGGTAGGAAACAAGAGGTTGGGCTGCTGTAGAAGAGACTGAAATGTTCTCTTTAGTCCCTAGTTTCAGCCAAACTGTAAACACCATTTACTTTGCCAGTTCCTGTCTCCATTTTCTGGTAAAGCAGCAACAGACTAGAGATTTCGACAAAACCACCGTATCAAATTCCTAGTCAAGGAAACACAACTTCTGCACAGAGTCCATTCCTCTGGGTGGAAGGAAGAAAAAAACAGAAGGGAGCATACCTACTTGTGCTGCTTGTGTACAAAGAACAAGAACACCTGGTTTTCAAATTTATTGACATATTGATATAAGGCTGAAACAGACTGTTACAATGACATCTAATGGCTCAAGGCTCTACAGAGAACTGCATGCTTTTGCTACTGAAGACTGCTGCTGTGAAGCGACTGGATGGTTCCACCTGAAAACTCAAACTAGTGATTTCAAGCCTTTCTGTGAGCACAGTCACTTTCTACCCTCTCCTGTAAAAGGCCAGGACCACTACCTGATGCTCACAACCACAGGAGGGGTCTGAGATCTGTCAGTCAAGTGTCTGGAACATAAATCAGTGTGATTAGTGGTCCAGTGCTGGGCTTGAGTGTCTGAAGACTAGCAAACACCAAATGTTTTAATACCAAATAGAGGATTACTGTTTCTATGAGGGAATGAGCCTCGGCTCAAGCTGCCTGTGCTCAGTCTCTGGGAGAGGGATCCTACATTCTTAATGCTCCCTCTGGCATCACAGGCTTTAGAAACAAGCAGAGTAATTTCAGCATCCCACAGTAGCCATCACTTTGAACTGCACGTTACACTAACATACAAAATGTAAGTATTTTGTCACATATCAACTCTTGACCACAAACAACAGGACATGAAAAGCTATACAAGGACAAAGCATCACACAACTTTTGGATATTCCCATTATCCAGATGTTAAAGAGATGGTGATAACAAGTCAGAAACTTTGCATCCAATGTTTGCCTCCAACTTTCTATTTTACCGTCTTCTGGTGCCACCATATCCTAGGATGAGAAAAATAAAGTCTACATTAGTTTTTCAAAATATGTGAAAATTGCTTATAACATTGCACAAGTTCTACTTGTTCCTTGTTAGGAAACAAGAAAGAAGCTATGAGGGCAGGCTACAATGCATCATGAGGTGGAACAGGATGTTGTGGGACAAGGCACATCTCCCTAGTCATCAAGTCTCATAACCTCACACATACTTGCTATCAGCAAACCAAACAAGAGTGCCAATGTAAGCTAGCATGCAAGCAATATGCCAACATGCAAATAATAACCATAAATATGCAGGTCTAAGCTTAAAAAATGCAGAGAGGACAATGCACCATAAGCCATGTCCTGATGACCTCTCACAACTCAAACTCAGGGATAAACAGAAGAAATGGAGGCATGAATTTTTAATGTTTTTAATGTGTGGCTTGAATACCACCCATCCATCACCCCACACACACCAGAACAAACAGGCTATCTATAGCTGATGGGGAATGTACTGTGTATGTTTATCTTATTGTTAAATAAAATGCTGTTTAGCCAATGAGACAGCAAGTTAGACGGGACTAGGAGTCAAAGAGGATTCTGGGAAATGTAGTAGAGAAGTGGTGATCCAGGCAGGAAGTGACATAGCAAGGAGACTCATATTTAAGTGAAGGAGAAACAGGAAGGGTCCCTTTTCCCCTTGCTCCTCCAGCAGCACAATGTGATCCACCAGCAAGGAAGGACGCCAATAAAGCGTCCAATAAGATGAGTCTTATAAAATATATAGATTTATGATAATTGAGACTGAGCTAACAGATGAGGAATCCTAATCATTGGCAAAGCAGCTTTGAACCTAATACAAGTTTCTGTGCATTCATTTGGGCCTAACTCGGGCAGGCGGCTGGCATAAAGCGCACATGTGGCAGTGGGGCTCAGCAGCTTTAGGCATTAAGATTTATCGTAACATATAGCTTACAGCATCGCTGAGCTTATCTGTTAGTGCATGGAGTGTATGTACCTCTGTTGCTGAAATACAGCTGCCCCTCCTTATCTGTGGTTTACACATCCATAGACTCAACCAAATAAAGTTTGAATAATTTTTTGAAAGATGCACCTGTAGTACACACATACATTCCGTTTTCCTTGTCATGCCCTAAACATCACAGTATAACAATCACATACATGATGTGTACACTGTCTGAGGACCATAGGTGGTTCAGAGATGATGTAGAACACCTAGGAGGGCATGTTGCACTAATGATATGCAAATACTATGTCATCATTATGTGGGGAACTAAGCATCCACAGGTTTTGTTATGCCTGGGGATCCTGGAAGCAATACCACCACCATCTCCATCTGCAGGAATGGCTGTATGTGAGAGTACACTTGCTGGACCCTAGGGATGTCTACGTTCAAGTTTAGTAGGTGAAGTGACTATGTCATTTACATCCAAACCAGCATTAAGAATTCTACTCTTACATTTCTAAACAACTTCATGAATTATTCATTGCTGTGTCTTCCTTCTGAAGAAAGTCAAGCAATCCAGGGAGATCTGCAAATGCCTGTTTCCCACCACCTCCAGCAGCTAGTGGGTCTCTTTGTTTTTTTACATTCTATCTTTGTTTCTAAGAAACATCCTCTTCACTCTTTAAAACAAATATTATAATCACACTGTTGACATTTTTTAAAGTCTAACTCAATATGTTTTTGTAATTCTCTTGAATTTGAAAGGCCAGAATTCTTTAAACATTGAAGGTTCTGGTTTAGAGATTAAAGGGTTCTGGAGTTAAACACTTATAGACACTAACATCCAGGAAGGCTTAATTTTCAAGCCACTTTTAGGAAATATTTAAAGAGGAAGAAGGAATTTGAATTTGGTTTCAGTCTCAGTTAACTGTGTTGCTAAGATGTTTGGTGGGCACACTAAATGAAGTCATGACTGCTCACACACATGTGTGCACACTGAATAAAGCCATGATTCTCACACACAGGTGTGAGCACAAGAAATGAAGTCATGATGCTCACACACTGCTCTGAGCTCCTTCTGCAGAGTACTTCTCTGTACTCATCAGCACTTCTGTATTTACCTGATGCTGTTCTGGTTCTTGAGTCTGCATTCAAGCTGGAGGATGCAGAATAGCTCCCTGCACCTCCACCCAGTGGTGAGTAGGCACGACTATTCCAGGTGCCAGGGTAGGATGGAGGGTAAGATGGGTAGTACCATGAGTCTGAGAAGGGGGTCGCCGCCCTTAAAGACACAAAGGTGAGTTAGGCATCTTTACTTCCCTGTTCCTAAGTCATCAGAAAAATGTCATCTTTACGAGACAGGGTTTCTCTGTGTAGCTTTGGAGCCTATCCTGGCACTCACTCTGGAGACCAGGCTGGCCTCGAACTCACAGAGATCCCCTGCCTCTGCCTCCAGAGTGCTGGGATTAAAGGCATGCACCACCAATGCCCAGCTTATCAAGTATTTTTTACCATGCACAAATTTTATGTCTACTTCTGCCACTTACAGCAACTGCTGTGGGAAAAGAAAGTGGCAGGAAGTAAATAAGCCTTCTTCCTGAATTCCCAACTAAGGTCTGAGCTCGGAGTTCTGTGAAACTCACAACATTCCAAGAGCAGACCAAGCTCTTGTCCAAGCCCCCTCTATCACTTTCCCAGCCAGACTGCCAACTGTCCCTTCCCACTGCTGTGCCCTCCTCTGTCTTCTTTGCATGTGCTCAGATGTCAGGCAGATAGTCTCTTTCCTGTCTCCTAGGATAGCATAGTAAAGAAGACAATAAAGGGAAATAATAGGAATAATTTTGACCAAAGCAAACCACAAACCACAAGCCCTGTACCTTCCCCTCTATGCAAAAACAATATTTAATAGGGCAAGAGCACCATCATTTGTTTCCCTTACAAAACCAAATTCAAAGCATGTAATGCCTTGTAAGCGAATCAAAGGCACCCTGGAGGAACTAAGGGCAAACGTGCTGAGTGCAAAGCTTACCTATTGCTGCCGAACAAATATCCTAACAGTCCTCCAGCACCCAGGCCAGTCCAGAACCCTGGGCCTGAATTGTCACAGCCTTGTCCTGTGAAAGCACTCCCAAAGCCAGTGTTCTGTGGTCCTTAAAATAAAATATACATTATTAGATTAAAACAAAATATACATTATTTGACTAAGTGCCTTCATAGACACATGATGTTTCATTATTCCATGTGTACAGTACTACTTACTAGTAATGTTTGGCCCTCAACCTGTGAACAAGCTGGATTCAAAGGGAGTATTTATAAAATATTGGCTTATAACTCAGGAGCACATTCCCACAGGCAGAGAGAGACTGAGATGGAGAGCTTTAGGATTTGCAAGGATGATCTTCCTGCAGGATTATCTATCGCCCTTGCTCAAGTTCAGCTTCTAGATAACCCCCCCCCCCTTTCAGATTCCTCCTTTCTATGCTGTGAAGCTCAGGTGAGAACAGTGCCTGAATCTCTAATGGAAAAAGGCAGCTTGACATTTATCAATTATGACATCAGACCACAAGCATTATCTTCCACTTAGAGGAAACTGTAAACATGGAGATGCACCTAGGAAAGTATGCCAATTTTACATAGACCTACGGAACAATGAGCTTGCTTTCTGTCCCCTCCATGTAACCACTGCCACTTCAGTAAACCATCTGAGCACCTCAGACAGCTTGTGACAACTCCTGACAATCACTGTGTGTTATCTGAGATAAACAGTATTCAGACTTCCTATACTTTAATTCTATTCCATGACCATGAATACCCAAGGAAATCAGAAGAGGGCATGGGATACTCCTGAGACTAGATTTTTTTGTTTTGTTTTTTATAACAGTTGTAAGCTGCTACATAGGTACTGGGAATCGAACCCAAGTCTTTTGCAAGAGCAGTAAGTGCTCTTAACCACTGAGCCATCTCTCCAGCCCTCCATATCCTTTTATTATAAAATGGCTCTTTGAATCCTCTGCTCAATTGTAGATACTACACTTACTTATTTGAGGGACTATACAGCACCACAGCATACATGTATAGATGTAAGACAACAACCTGCACGTGCCAATTCTCTCCTTCCAGCACCTGGTCCCGAAGATCAAACACAAGTCACCAGGCTCGGCGGCAAGCACCTTACTCACTGAGCATCTAACCAAATCTCTCTGCCCAGTCTTAGTGATTTGTCTTTTCTCAGATTTATGGATGTCTTTGTAGTCTAGATACAAGTCTTTTGTCAGCAGTATATATTACAAATTCTTGTTTTTTTGGTTGTGAGCCTCACTATTAGCAGGTCATCTCTCCAGCCCACGCTTTACGAAAACCTTATCCAAATCTGTGGCCTGCCCTTTTTCTTAGCAGTGTTTTCTGATAAACAGGCATTCTTAATTTAAGTAAAGTTTAGTGTACTTATCTTTCCTTTTATATTAGAAGTTTTTGTGCTATTAGTCTTTATCTAGCCACATGTAGTGGTGCATGCCTACTATCACAGCACTTGGGGGGCAGAGGAAGGAGACTGCTATGAGTTTGAGGCCAGCCTGGTCTACAGAGCTAATAACAGGACAGACAGGGCTACATAGTGAGACTCTGTCTCAAGCACACACACAAAGAAAAACATACCTACATTCTATTTCATTCTAGTAAGTCTTGTGTGTGTGTGTGTGTGTGTGTGTGTGTGTGTGTGTGTGTAGTATGAAGTAGAAGTCAAAATAATGCTTATTAACAAATCTGAGTTTTCCACTTAAAATGACGATCTACAATTTACCAGGCAACTTTAGTAACAGTGACCATAACACACTATTAGAAGCAGAGCAGCAGTCAGTGACCTGGCTCAGCTGGGAAAGTGCTGTGCAACAGTGACAATTTCCAGTTCAACCCCAATAAAGGTGGAAGGGAATGACCGTCTATGGTTATCCTCTGACCTCCACATCCACACCATGACACCATGGTATAGACACACACACACACACACACACACACACACACACACACACACACACACATGCACATATACAATGATACACATTTTTAAATTTTTCTTTAGAAAAAAGAAGGGCTGGAAAAGTAGCTCAATTACTAAGAGCACCTGCTACTCTTCCAGAGGATCCAAGTTTGGTTTCTAGCATGTATACCAAATAGCTAAATAAAACCACTTGTACCTCCAGTCCCAGGGGACCTAACACCCACTTCTAGCCTCCACAAGCACCCACCCATGTACAAAGACACATTTTTTTTGTTTTTTTACCTTATTGCAAAGAGATTTTTTTTTAACCCAGTAAATAGACAAATATTTTGTTTCCAGATGCAATTAGTCTTTTCTTCAGAAACATGCACAAGACTCATCTGCTCACATGCAACCCACTTACTTACTGCCTTGATCAGGGAAACATACCTGTGAACTCAGACTTAAACCCAGGCTGAGGCGCTCCTGCAGCATAGCTAGACCTCTGATAGCGCTGGGAATATGGAGGGTACTCAGAATATGGTGGAAGAGAAGCCTGACCATCACTGAGGAACAGTTTATAAACCACATAGGCAACAGCAAGTAGTACCCCAATGGTAACCAGCCCGCTAATGCCACAGGAATCTGAGGAGTACAACTTGTGATAATAATCAGAGAAGCCCTGGTGTTTTGCAGACTCCTTCATTTTCTTCAGGCCTAGTTCTGTGTAATCCAAGTGATACTCCAGGCCGCAGGAACCCCTGAGGACATACTGGTCTTCTGAGGACTCATAGCCTTCACAGCTCACCACCGTTTTTCCAAATTGGTATGCAATATCCAAATCAGTCTTACATTCCCACTGTGAAATAGAGAAACAGGCTCTAAGAACCAAAAGATTCTTTACCTTCAATATGTATCACAGCTGTCAAAAAAACTGCAAAATGGAGCAAAAGAATGATCCACTAAATCCAAGACAGTAAGTATGTATGGAGGAGACACGCTTCTAAGACAGTGGTTCTACTAGCAACCTACTTAAGCTGGATGGGGGTACATGAGCATTCACTTTGTGGTTTTTTCCTTATTCCCAGATATACATTACATATTCTTCTGTACAAGTTAGGTATTCCATATTTTATAAGCCTGAGGCAAATTTTCAAATAATCACCTGCTTGCCACCATTGTCAAAGGTATTTCCTCTACAGTTAGATTCTCCAGATAGTAAAATCAAAGAATCAGCATCAGGGAAGAGGCCCTAACTGGTTATCCAATACAAGTTATCAGCTCTAAAGATATACATGCTTGCAAAACTGAGTAGACTCAGCACACTGTGTTTACATATTATGTACATTATATATTACCATACATATGATAATAATTAAGAGGAGGCCATGAATTTAAGGGGAGTGTGAGAGGAGTTAAAGAGAGGAAAGGGAAGGGGGAAATGATACAAATCCAGAAATATAAATTTTTAAATCAGCATCAGATATGTAAGATCTAACAGCTGCATACAGCAGATCACCTTCTGCAAAACAAAACTTTCCATACAGATTTTGTAACAATCATGTACTGACAGGGTCTATTCCTACATAATTTTCTTTAGCTTTTTAAAGATATACTTAGAAAACTACAAAAAGAATCCATATTAGCTTAAATTTTACGGTGGTGGGGGGGAAGAGGATGGGACAGAGACACCCACAGACAGAGAGGAAGCAGGTATTCTTAGCCAGACATGATGGCCCAGATTTATAATGTCATCGATGTGGAGTGCTGAGATAGAAGCCTCAAATCCAAGGCCAGTCTAGGCTGCACACCAAGTTCCAGATCTGCCAGAGAACACAGTAAGATCTCACCTCAAAATAAACAAACTGAGAATGGAGTGTAGCTCAGGAGCTGAGTGTGGACAACATCCAGGGTTTGAGCTCCAGCACCACCAAAAACTAAGCAAACAAGCAAGTTAGGTTTAAAGTCTTTAATTTTTGCTGAATAGATAAAATATTTCCCTCACAAATGTTAGAGATACAAACTAGGACAGGTTCTACCACCTTTCTGGCAGGTTTCGTTCAAATCATGTTTCTCTTTCAACTTCAGCTACATTGTTTTACTGTTTATAAAACTGCCTTGCTGAGGTGTGATTCACAGAAGATTCTCACAGCAGCATTTTTATTAAGTTCATACACTTGTACCACCTTTGCTATTACTAACAGCTTTAAAATCTAATGATCACCCCCAAGGAAACCTCAAACTATGGGCAGCCGCCCACTTCCCCTTCCCAGCATCCCACCCTAACTGAACTGCTTTTCCTCCCCCTGTAAGGAAATCAGACATATAGGTCTCTGTAACTGTCATCTTTGCTTTAGTGTAACACTTTCAAGGTTCATGCATGCTACAGCATCAATCAGCACTTTGTTCCTTTTAATGGCTGAAAAACACTGCACCTTAAGAATCAACTACACTGTATTATTTATTAATTTTAGCTTTAGGGATTTCCTGTTTTAGCTATCTGAATATTCCTGTAAATATTTGTATAGTTTTTGGGAAGAAACATGCCTTCATTTCTCTAAAGATATATTCCTAAGAGTGGAATGATTGGGGCATTTTTCTTTTTTCTATTATTATTATTATTATTATTATTATTATTATTATTTGCTTCTGCTTTGTTTCATTTGGGGGAGGGTTGAGGCAAGGAAGCTCTGGCTGTCCTGGAACTCATTATGTAGACCATGCTGGCCTTGACCTCAGAGCTGTGCCTACCTTTGCCTTCTGAGCACTGGGATTAAAGAGGTGCACCACCATACCCAGCTCTGGGGCATCTTTCTTTATGAGTTCTTTAAAGCCCAGATGTTGTTTATTTATATAATATGCAATTTTTCTCTTTGTTGTTGTTATTACTATACTAAGTATTAATTTTATCTGGAAAAAGATATCCGATTTTGCTGGCTTAAGTAAACAGAACAAACTGAATCTACAACAGTATATACCAGAGCAGTCTCTGAGTACTGAATTTCACTTTAAATCACTGCTAATAAACATGAGCCAACACATGAGAGGCTCCACTTCATGCCTTCCTTTCTAACACAGCACCTGTACCCCCTCTGAGTCTTCACCAGGCCCTCCACCAGACATAGCTCTTCCCCCACTTTGTTGGTATGTACACAATCCAAGTATTTATTTTTTCTCTCTCTCCGACTAGATAAGTGTCTTGCTATCCTAGTCACATGGCATATGACACATTTAATATATGCTTAAAGGGCTCTACAAAAAATTAGCACCCACATCCCCACTATGTAATAGTAATTTAGAATAGATGTGAGATGTCTGCATTAGCCAGGAGATTCTAATTAAGTAATAAAGGGGGGCTAGGGGGGAAAGGGCCAGTATCACCAGCAAACACGTGCTTGGGCCAGGCATGGTGGCACATGCCTTTAATCCCAGCACTTGGGAGGGAGAAGCAGGGAGACTACTGTGAGTTTGAGGCCAGTCTGGTCTACAGAGCCAGTTCCAGGCCACCAGGCCTACACAGTGAGACCCTCTCTCAAAAACAAAATAACAGAACTCTGAAATACATAGGCCATAAAGGTTTTATCAAGCAAGAATATTAGTTTTTCCAAAATAATGATGTCTCAATAAACAGCTTATTGTATTAAAGTTTGCTGTGTATGAATTTCCTCCGAGATAAAACCTCCACCTTGGAGGGAGGCTCATTAAGACGAGGGCTATTGTTGTAACTAGAGGTAACAACCCATCCTGCAGGGACACTCATTAAGCTCTGAACAGAAACAGCTAGGCCTCTCCTGGTGAAGTGTATATAAGCAGTGAGGACTGCTAAGAGTCACTCTCCCACCAGCCCAGCTGCCTGTAGGTTGTGTGGTGAACTCCAGACTTCCAGACTTCATGAGCTGTGACCCATGCTGGGGTGGCTTCTGATGATGCAGCTGTCTGTGAGTCATTTCTGCTCCTGCTAAGTAACCTGTCACCCAAAACCCTGTAGGAATAGTGTCACACAACAGAACTCCATGAAAACTGTTGTTGTAGTACAAGCTATTACCTGTACATCATAGCCATCCCAGCCTTTGTTCTGGCACTGTATCACTTTGGGAGTGTAGGCATCGCAACCAGCTGTGCCTCCAACACACTTCAACTGGGGAATAGGGTCCAGTCTCCGGGAGGTGGTGTAGCGGTCATGGTGAAGGGTTAGAGCTTTCACATCTCGAAGCAGTATTCTGTCTGAAATAAGAACACACATTAGCCCACAGAATGGGAAAAGATTTTCACCAACCCCATATCCGACAGAGGGCTGATCTCCAAAATTTACAAAGAACTCTAAAAGCTAGTTTCCCCAACACCAAATAATCCAATTAAAAAAAGGAGTACAGAAC